TTAAGTTATGCAATTAATAACTTGGTTATCATTTTCAATACTTAAAATACTTGTAGACTTTAAAATATAGCTCAAAACTACTAACTATAAGAAAAGCTGATTTCAAGTTTATAACTACATGCATATTCACATTTACTCGTTCTGTCTGCTCAACTTTTTTTCTCCAATTATGTTTTATATTTATTTATATTTGTTTTTTTGGGTGCATGTCTGTTCACCATGTCTTCCTTAGCTCACAAATTCTTTAACGTCTCTAAAAAAAGTAGTGCAATATGGATCATGGTTTTAGAAGAATTGGGCAATGTAATGATTTTGCGCACAAACATATTCGCATATTAATATGTGCGAAGATTAGTAAGTGTAGCTTCATTCTGGGACAGGGGCATACAGTACATTTCATACACAAAACGTGTATTATATGCGAACAGTATTAACGCTACATTTCATATATATTTTGCTTAGTAATTACTGGCGAATGGGCCATTCAGTAAAGCTTATACACAAACATATTCTTATATGCGTATACTTATACGTGTAAAGGTACCAATAAGGAGACACGTTAACTATCGTAATATTTTGCACGATGGAAGACATCGGTCATTAAGGAGACATTTTCATGTCTCCATAATATCACAGCCCCCCTTTAGAGGCAATGTTTACCGTTGCAATTAGATTATATTTGTTGCTCGTGGTCTAATTATAGTAAACATACCGAGATTCGTAGAAAAAGGACAAGGGAATATTGGGTTAGGGCACATTTAAGTTTTAAAAAAAGTTTGCACAAGTCTATGGGGATGTCTCCCAAATGTGCAATCTAGGGTAATGCATATAACTACATATTTAATATTATGCTGAGAGCAATTACTTACTATTTTAAGTATGCATTCCAAGTATATGTATCTTGACTATCATTTTCTATCATTAAAATACTTGTAGATCTTAATTGATAACTCAATACTCATCACTACAGATTAAGAGAAGCTGATTATTAGTTGATAAGTAAAAGTATATTAATCCCCAGTTCTTGTTTCTGAACGTTTTTCTCCTATATATATATATTTTTCATTATTTTTGTTTCTTTTTTTTGGGGGGGGGGGGGAGGAAGATGTGTCTGCTCACTGTATTCTCTAGCTGACAAATGGTTATGGTTATGGTTGGTTATGGTTATGGTTATTTTTTCATCTCATAGCACAACAACATAATAATCAGGAAACTATATAAAGAATGACAAACAATGATACGAGGGATCCAGGTAAAAAGCATATGCTTGTACAAGACCTGGACCCCATAATTACAAAATAAGCTAATAAATTAATATGTACATACAATAGGCTGAATTCTATTAGGTAATACACTTATACTAATAAAATCGAAAAGAAATAAAATTAACAGCAAAAAAAAAATTCACATTCGTATGAATATACATAGGCCTACACAGTACTTTCCTACGTCCATACATTACAAGGAATAAATCAATTTATTCATTACAAAACAGGTAAGGGATGAGGGGGAAAAGAAGCAAAAAGTGGCCAAGGAATTATTAAACAATACTATATTTTTCAACAATATGTGAGGTGAGATGAATATGCAATTTATTGGGATACTTAATTATCAGTATAATTTGTCAGTAGCAACTTTTTGTATGTAGTTTTTGAAGTTTTTCATTGATCTAACGATAGTCATTGGTTTGAGGTGGTTCCACAATAGAGGTCCCTGGTTTCTGACAGTCGATAAGTAAAGAGATGTTCTAGCTTTATGGAGACGAAGGTTTGAGGCTGACCTTGTATTATGAGAATGGATATCTGAGTTTTTGTTAAATAGCGAATGTATAGTTTTGGGTAATTTGTTTGTTTTGAATTTATACATTAATACCCCAAGATGGTATTTATACAAGTAAAAAACAGATAAGGTTTTGTATTTACTAAACAGTGGTGCTGAATGTTCTGTATATCTGGAGTTATTCATTATCCTAAGTGTTTTCTTTTGCATAATATACAATTTATTGATAAAGGTTGGGTAGGTGTTACCCCATGCTAAAATACCATATTGAAGGTGAAATCTCTAAAAAAAAAAAACCCAGAAAAAAAACCACCGAAAACAACATGGTGTAAAAGGTTGTCGTGGTTTCAGGTCAATGGGGCCATGCGATGAATTTCGCACACATACTTATTAATATTTACAAAATTACTAACCCTAGAGTTAATGCTAATATATACATTTGTATTTGTTTAGAGGAATTATTAAATCAATTTAGCATGCATTCCAAGTATTGCTTTTTAATTAAATTAATAAACTGGTATCTTGACTAACAGTTTCTATAATTAAACATGTGTAGACTGTTAATGATAATTCAATACTAATCACCACATATAACGTTCAGGTGATTACAAGTTTGTAAGTTAATTCACATTGCCTAGTTCTGTCGGTTAAACACTTTTTCTTCAATGCTATTTTGGTTTTATTTATGTCTGTTCATTATGTCTCCAGTAGATGGAATATTCATTTACTCTATAATCAAAACACACATGGACCTACACGTAGTGTTATAGGTTGCCATGTTTTCTAGTGCGTGTAATAAACCAATGTATCAACCCTGACCCTTCTTTAGACGAATTTCAAATTGACACTGAAACCAAAGCCCAGTGCTCCTTTTGTTTAAAGGATTAAAAAAAGATAGGACTGGTCTTCAATTTATGCAATGGCTTAGCACTGAGATCCTTGGTTTAAATCCGTATACCAAGGTGATATTTGTGGTCATTTTTCTTGGCGAACATTGTACGGGCGTTACAAACAACTTACGTTCTCACGAAGTAGAAACAAACCCTTTTGCGCTACGTAAACACGAGAAAAAGTGGAGTGAAGTTTCTTTTGTCAAATGTCTAATTTTGATTATTAAGAAAGTAATAGCATTTCGCTTAGACACTTGGTTAAATTGTTGCTTTAGAAAAATATAAACATACGAGAGAAAACAGAAATCAATAAAAACATCGGTTTTTTAGGTGTTTTTTGAAGCATCCAAGACAACTAAGACATAAAAAAGTAGACGGACCAGTCATTATATGTAATGATCAGCTGGTGTTTCTCATTAATTGTAGAAGGTATCTACCGCCCTCTGTTGTCATCACCAAAAAAATGCCACACTAAAAATATTGGGCAAATAATTTGTTGGGCAAAAAATATAAACAACGTAATATGTATGAGCACATTTGCCCAATAGGTGAACGTGTTAACTATTCGCCAATCGTTGGTCGGATAATTAACCCATTTTGGCCAACTTTTTACAGTGCAGAAGATTCGCTTGAAGTAATTACAAAACCACACAACGGTGTCTCATATGTCTGAACATATTACACGAATGAAAATATCTTAACAACATCTTATTACATTATTTAATGCGTTTCGCCGTAGTATACTATTGGTTTTTGATACAAAGGCATAATTAAAATCGATTTCAGCAATTGTTAAATCCATGCAGTATCTGCACGATACTGCATGAAATTAAAGATAACTCCCTACTACTTATTTCCGAGTTTTGTTTATACTAAGCTAAACCAGAAATATTACAAAGACAAAGTGTTCTGTTGTTGATTTTACAGTTGTGTAGCCACTCAGACAATCCTCAAACCATCGTTTCATTTTTATTCAAGATATACAAAGAACTCGCACAGTGACCCTTATTCTGATATAACTTACGCATAATATTTGTACAGGAAAGCCACGGCGAATGTCTATTTACCAATAAAAAATGTCCAATAAAAATGTCCATTTAGATAAGTCCTTGTCTTGCACAAAAATGGGACAGGGTACCGGTTTTGAACACAGTCAGTGCAAGTTTCACTGATATTTAGTCTTGCATGAAAAGGGTCAGGGCCTTTGTTTGTGACTAACCCAAAACACAACGAACACAATGTTTAGATTATGACTCAACACAATAGCAACAATGGGCATCCAGACAATGAAGTAAATATATAGAAACAGGATATCAATTAAACGGAATTACATTAATTAAACTTGAATATTTAAAATACAGATTTCTTTTTACATTTTTGCTGTCCTGTTCATGTTCTTCCTTGTGTCACTTTGTCCGTATTTTACAACGGTTCTGCGCCCTGGCCGAGCGTTAGGTTGCCCTTACCTTCGAAAACTGTTGTTCAATTTGACGTTTCGTGTTTTGTACGTTATACCTGTTTCATAAAACGGTCTGACCATAAAGACTCTTTAGACAGCAGTGAACTGTGGCAATGTCATGGCTATTTTGAAATGTTCTGTCTAGCAGTGTGCTGGTCCTTAGGTAAATATATACTCTTAAAATAACATGATATAAACAACGTGTTGGTTGTGTTTGTGGATAGTTATAAAGAGAGGCCGGGATTTCTTAATGCATGGCTGAATATAGGACCGAATGTTGGCTGAAGAGAAATGAGTGCGTTTCGATAATAAGCTCTTGCGAAAAATGCGATGCCGACGGCACATATGGAACACCATACTTTTGGTCAATTTTGGGAGCATTTCCTCCTTTTGGTTTCGTCCAACCTCTACACTAAATGGCGTGCACCTTGTTCGAGGAATATGTTGTACAGCGCAAGTACGAGTGAACAATAAGCTCTGGCAGCGTTGCAGGAAGTCTTGCCAGACAGTCTTGCATGAAATCGATCAAATGATCTCTGCCAGAGCTTACAAATGCAACCGACCGACCGACTACCGGGTGACATGAAGTACCTTCTGCCAGAGCTTATAAACTGGTAATCTGTCCAGTTGTTGGGGAAGACAAGGACACTTTTTTTAACTCGCCCTGTATGCCTGTAGTAAATCGACACCATGCATATACATCCTGTAACACAGGACAAGATATTTCTAAATTACATTTTCTGATTCCATGTTATGATAGAGCGTTGTTAGTCGATTAGATATGCAAGTTGTTTAGTCTCCCTCCTGTACAATTTCATCCTTGTTTGGTAATTGGTGAAACACTTTCATGAGTCATTTTCTGCGAGATTTTCTCACAGTTTCTCGTTCATGCCGTCGGCGCCTTTCACTTTGTAAATCCTTTCATCCAGGTTCTTCATGGTGAGGTAATCCTGTTAAGTATTGACAGAAAAATATATTATTGTATGACTGGCACCTTTATGTTAACAGTGATGTGTGTTCACCAGTTTAAGTTATTGTAGGTGTTATAAGAATTCAGTTTTCGTTTGTGGTACAGGCGCAACTTGACTTGTTTACTACGAAATCCCGTATCTTACTTCTTAAAACCTGTCGCCAGATCCAACGCAGCATGATTCTGTTGGTATGACCAAAAATTGTTAGAAGCGTGGTTTTTGTAGGGCCAAAAAAAAATAGTTCTGTTTCCGATTACATTGCATTTGAATATAGGGTAGTTAGGGAATTTTTTTTTTGGGGGGGGGGTGGTTTTTTTTGTACGATCATATGAAGCTGCCTGCGTGAAAGCAATGGTAAAAGGTAGTAATTGATAGTTTTCGGTAATTTTTCTTCATTTTGCCTCCCCAAAATATATGGTAGGGGCTGTCAAAATAGGGTAGTTAGGGGAATCGGAAGCAGAACTTTTTGGGGGCCTAACCGGTCTAATACTTCACCTCGATGCACTTGCCTCTCTTCACTCAGGTATAGTGCCTAAGTATAGTATACATGGGTACTAGTATGAGCTCAGGAGTATATTATTTGTGTTATATTTAATCATTGTCATTTCATGCCTAGGACAACGGAGTAAGACGCCGACCTTGTGAGCCGCCACTGGGTTGGGGCAGTACTGCATTGTATTTCTGCTAGCAAATATCTGGCTATTTAATAGTGTTATATCAAACCAAATCATGTGGCAACTGAGACAAACGTCCAGTCTTTCTGCTGGTGTTAAAACACTTTTTAAAATTGTGTCACTTGCCTCATCTTTAGACGCCATATCGGCAAATTGCCAATACAGACTCTGAAAGCTGGGTCGATCCTTGGGAATCTCCTGCCAACAGCTGCGCATCATTTTATACCTGAAACATGAAACATATTATGCTAATCGTGTAATAAATAAAGACGTAAAGGACACTCATTCTTTCAATCTCCAATGTCTACTCTCGAATTCCTGTCTTCAAAATTGAGGTAACATGTTGTTGCAGTTCAGTGTCCATTAAAAGTTAACGGAAATTGTAAGTCAAAGTGTTGGTTCTTTTTCTCTGATTGATTCTGATTGATTGGATAAAAATCAAAACACTAATTATTGATTTTGATGAACTGAATGCACTGTTAAACAAGGCATGTGTAAAGACATGATGTAGTCTTTGTGCCAAACTGGTGCTCTGGTAACTCGAGTGGGGGATCCTTAGATGGTAACGCGATGCCTAGGATTGGATCTGGTGTTGATTTGGACAGCAGGATGATGTGACGTCTGTTTCGACGGTACTGGGTGCCGTTGATGCAGATGATGTAGGACCGCGGAGTACCAGCATTGCGTACAACTTCACCTTCTGGGATCAAGTTTCCTTTGATTCGGATCTTGACCTTGTCTCCAGGTGTCAATTCATCCAGGTCTCTTGATCCATGTCTTTTGTTAAAGTTTTGTCTTCTCTTCATCTTGTTGACATTGTCTGCAGCCTTTCGCTTGTCGTAGTTGATCTTCTTGGGCTGGAGATTGCGAGGCAAGGTGTTGTGCGTATCTCCCTTCCCATAAGGAGATTCGCTGGACTCTGACCGAGGCTAGGCAAAGGAGTTGACCTGTACATCATAAGGGCATGGACTGGATCAGCTTGACTCAACAGTCTCTTGGCGATGTGAACAGCTTTCTCTTCTTGCCCGTTGGCCTGTGGGTAATAACTTGGGAAAGCTGTACTGACGATAGAATTGGTCGAATTCGCCTAGAAATTGTGGACCGTTGTCAGTCACCACTAGCGAATGTCGCCTTCATGAAGTTAATCACGGATTTGGCTGTTGTCGATTGGAGGTGATGCAACTCTATCCATCGAGAATAGTAGTCTACTACCACAAGGTACATCTTCCCCTTCACCTCAGCTATGTCACAGGCAATTTGCTGCCATGGTCTCTGTGGTAGTTGTGTAGACAACAGGGGCTCGGCTCGTTGTGATGGTTGCATATCCTGGTAATGGGGGCAAGACTGGACATACTGAGCTATGTCGGTACTCATGCCAGGCAAACAAACAGCTTGATTGGCTCGGAGACGGCTTTTCGAGATGCATTGACGACCCTCATGGATTCTCTACAACGTTTGCTATCTCAGGCTCAGTGGTATCACAATGCAGTGACCATATGTGAGAATACCATGATCTTGTCCTAGTCATCCTGGAACCGTCTCAACTCTGGCTCAACATCTTTCTGTACTTCAGCCATCCATCTTTGACGAAAGAGATGACTGCACTTCAATCTCGTCTTCCAAATCGTCATTGGACTCTGTCGTTTTGTCACGATGGAGAGGGGCTCGTGAGAGTGCGTCAGCCACAACCAGGTTCTTACCCGGGGTGTACTCTGCATAGCGGTTGTACTTCATAAGTCCCATCAGAAGTCGCTGGCAACGAAGGGGGCATTACACAAGTCCTGGCTGATTAAGTACACAAGAGGTTTGTGGGTTGTCTGGAGCGTCACTCGGAGACCACGGAGATAGATGTAGAAACGCTCGCATGACCAGACAGGAGCCAGTAGCTCCTTTTCGATCTGTGTTTAACGTTGTTCTGCACGTGTCAGGCTTCGGGAGCAAGTGTGCTACTGGCCTCCAGCAATCGTCTTCCTGCTTCTGAAGGATGTATCACCAATGCCGTAACTGCTGTTATCAGCACTGACCATTGTTGGCTTTGTTGGGTCATAGTATGCAACGCGTCTACGTTGGCAGGGTCAGGATGAATTCCTTCCTTATGGACGAGGAAATTCACCTGTTCTTGTGCAATTTTGCAATTGTCTTTGTTTAGCCCCAACCCAGCTCCTTAGGGGATTTTGAAAACATTTCAAAGACGTGCGTCATGTTCCTGTTGTGTAGCGCCCGTGACGAGAACATCGTCCATGTAGACAACGGCCCCTGGGAGATTTACCAGCAGATCACTCATGATTCTCTGGTACAGCTTGTGTGCTGACGTTATGCCAAATGGCAAGCGTTGAAGCAGAAGCTGCCAAACGTTGTGATAAATGTGATCAGCTTCTGGCTGTCAGGATGGAGAGGAATTTGCCAAAACCCATGCTTGGCATCTAGGATGGAGAACAGCTGGGCACTGGCAATTTTACCCAGTACTTCTTGCAAGGTAGGTATGGTGAAGTGCTCTCTGGCCATGGCTTTGTTCAGCATTCGCAGATCAACGCAGATCCTGATGTCCCCATTTTTCTTGGGAGGAATCACAATCGGGTCGCACCAATCAGTAGGCTTTGTGATGCGCGAGATGATCCCATGTTTCTCCATTTTTCCGGTTCTTTCTTGAGCTTTGGATGCAGGGGCAATGCAGTCGAAAACACTGCTGTCATTGATCAAGGTGTACACACGCTGCACCAGGTTTAGGGACACACAGGCATGTTTTCCCAAAACTGGCTCACCATCATCAATACCAAGAAAAGTCGGAACATGGTACTTGCCCTTGACTTAACAGGATAGACGATTCTGCCCTCTCAGTTTGACTTTACCGCCGAAGAAACCACACAAACGGGTTGTAGGCGTGAATTGCAAGGTCGTGTCACGGAGCTTGGGGTGCGGTAAACATGTAACAGCAGTTTGTTTACCTCTGACGCCCTGACGTGTGTAACTGCTTTTGCCCGATACTGAGCCGACGAAGCATCTTCAGAATCTGAAGATGAAACTGAGTAATTGGGAGCAGTCACAGCTCGCGTGTGTTTGTGCTTGGATCGGCAAACTTTGCTGAAGTGTCCAGTTTTGTGACAGGACTTGAACTGCTGGCCTCTAGCAGGGCACGTTGCATGGCTTGGGTCGTATCCGCAATTGGGACACTTGGCCTGGCGGGCGTTGCGCTTGGGCGGATGAGCGTTGGGCGTCCTTTGAGCAGCGGGTGTGTGAAGTCCCAACTTCCGGGACTTTCTGGAAAGTGAGATTGTCCTTTGTTAGAAGATGCTTCTGAATGTACTCGCTTCAAAGGCCACAAATCAGACGATCATGCAAAGCGGCATTCATAAATAACCCAAACTGACAGGGGCTGGCCAAGTTTTGTAGTGCAACTTCATACTGAGCGATGGATTCATCGGTGTGTTGATTGCGTTTGTAAAATCTGACTCGCTCTGCTACAACTAGACGCTTCGGGCCGTAGTGTGACTCAGGAGTTGGTTCAGCCAGGCCTTTATACAGTTTTGTAGACAACTGAACCAAGTGCACTCAGCAAAACTGCCGGTTTTTTCGACGCAGGGATGTCATTTGCAACAAAATAGAGGTCGAGACGCTCGATGTAGTTGCGAATTCCAGACGGCCGATGAGCGGAGCGGCGGATACCGGCCTCAACGATGGGGACTGCGCCATCGCGGTGTTGGTCAATTCCCGTGCGTGAAACTCACAAAAGTTCGGACGTTAGTTGTAGCTTAAATGTCACTTATTGATGTGAAAAGTGGAATGCAAAATGACGGCTATTTTATTCTGAGTCAACCACCGCTGCCATCACGTTATATTGTGCGGACTCGCCATTTGGGGTTCGCCATGCGGGCCGTCATGTTTGCACATGATTTATTAAAAGACGCATCTACTTACAGAACGTGCAGTTCGTGTCACAATACACAGTTGCAAGGCATGTTATAACAGGGTAATAACATGAAACACACATTATTCAGAGCATTCGCATAAGCTGACAGTACTTACAGCTTTTTCTTGCATTGTCGAGGCCTCGGCATACGATAGCCCCGCTGTAATACGTTTATCATTGTCGTTGGTGTCATCAGCGGATACGGCCGTGCACCTGTCAGACATTTAAATGTATTCAAACATTTGACGGTAGATACTCACCGACGAATACAAATTAAGCCTAAATGGCCCGAAATCTTTATTGCGGCAACGTTACTCCACGCGCAACACATCTTTAATTGTGCAACCCATATTAGTCGTCAAATTCCGTGTGAACAATACGCCGACAAAAAAGCTCAAGGATTAGCAACTACATTCTTTAGAGGATTTTTAATGTTTTTTTTTCAATCCCCCAAATCCCAAACTCAACAGAATAGACTATGAAGTAAATGTTCTTAAAAACGACAAAGATGAATTCCTAATGTGCCTTAGAGTAATCAAACACGGCGAGCATGTAAAACGCTTTCCGTCTTCATCGGGTAAGAATTTGTCACAAAATGAACACCCAGCAGTATACCGCATTGCACAGAGCGCTTATAGAACAACCGCCCTGCCTCTCATAAAACACTTGCTTACAGGCACTTTGATTGGTCCTTCACCAATATTATAATAACTTTCTTACTATAATAAACTACTGACATTCTAAATCATATCAACTTGAGATATTTTCTAAATCATATCAACTTGAGTAGACTTGTGTCAGTCACCTATTGATCTGTGTAAGCCTGTAGTATTTGATTATTAAACGGTTACTTGCGAACGTTATTCCAACACGGAAATGATAAGCAGATCATCAAGTAATTATGAATTATTTATCAATTAGTAAAGGTTTCTCGCGATCATTAAACTCTGTTAATACAAACTGTTTCTTAGGCAAGCTACAAAAAAAGCATGAGTTGCATTTTCGTTACACTACTTTAGAAAGACCTCCCATATCTTTTGTCCACACACCAGTGGACCCTCAATCAATTGTGGACCCTATTGTTCTCTATCGTTCGAGTCCAAGATTTGAATGTGTTTACTTGTACACACACACACACACACACACAGACACACCCACCCACAGGTTAACGTTACATACTTTGTGTGGACATTCCTTTGTTTTCGTGTAGTTAAGAAAACTCGGTACAAAAAATAACTTTACTTAAACTATACAAACTCTTTTAACCCAATTTTTTTTCTATGATTCCTTATAGTGTTTCTCTTCATTCTGCTACGGATAAACCTAACCCAAAAATGCCTCTAAACCTGTTTTCCAGAAAGGGCAAAACCTTATGTGGACACGGCTTAGTCCACATAACGTCAACACAACCTGCATTATGTGGACATCTCTTGTTCACAAGTCCACATAGGGAATGTAAGACAAACTCACACCCACTCACACCCACACACATACACACTAAATTTGATGTTCCAGTCCTGTCACTTACCAAGTGTCACAATCTCCCATAGCAGTATTCCAAATGACCATACGTCACTCTTTGTTGTGTACACATCGTGAACAATGCATTCCAATGCCATCCAGCGAATGGGAAGAGGACACTGCAGAAAGAGTTTTCAAGAGCTATGTTGGTACTGTGTTAAGCTAAAACTATGATCTTGCAATGCTGTCGTTTGACAATTGTGCGGCTCGTATCAAACATACAGCGTTGGGATTTTCGACATTAATGACGTCGTTTTAACCGATCTATATAGAAATTGCAGTTTTTGTCTGGTACCTGGGATTTTCGATGGTAGATGCGGGTGTTCATAACGTCACGGGCCAGTCCAAAGTCAGACACTTTACAAACCATATCTTCTCCCACCAACACGTTACGAGCGGCAAGGTCACGATGCACAAACTGAGAAAAAAATAATAAACAAGGGAAAATCTGCATATATATCCCACCAAACGGCGGGTTGGTGTATAATAAAACTAACGAGCAAATGCCGAAAGAATTGTTTGTTGCTGTCCTCAAAGAATCAGTCTTTACGTCCTTGGGTCCTCTTTCTTCCTATCTCATTGAATGACTGACTTTTTTGTGACTTTTACAGCCCTTAAGAATACAATATAGTTGCCGATGTCATATGAAAATCGGACTCCTATGAAAATCGGAATCCTTCAACCTATTATTCGTTAAACCCTCTCACATGAGCGACCCTTCTCCTTACTTTCATACTTAGGTATGCGCCATACTACCAATGAGTCCTAAATCCACGATATACCGACACCAAAATTCTGATGCACTAAACTTTAGAACTTAAGTTAAGCATAGAACCTTTACGTGCACCCACTTAGGCTCTATGGGTGTCGAGACCGGTTCATACTTCATTCGTATTTGACGTCACGAAACATTCACTGCGATATTTGCCGGAGTTGAAAATGTGTTTAACTTTTGCGAATTCTCAGCGTAGTGTCCCTGACGTCACAAATTTGCGTTTGCGTTTGCGTTCACTTTCCCGCCGAGGATGAACCAACCTTCACTCGGAAAAACTATATATCGATCCTTTAAGCAGTGATTTTGACGAACCACATGCGCGATTGGTGTGGCATTGGAGTTCACATGCGCAGTGGGCGTGGCTTAATGGATGGGCCAACTGTGTTTCTATAATTTATATTTCAATAACCGTGTGAGCTTGTCTTACATACGCAGTGTGGACTTCCGAACAAAACACGTCCACATAATGTAGGTAGCACCGACGTTGTGTGGACTTGCCCACGTCCACACAGTGTTTCCCCATTTCTGGAAAACAGGTTTAGAGGCATTTTTGGGTTAGGTTTATCCGTAGCAGAATGAAGAGAAACACTAAAGGGAATCATAGAAAAAAAATTGGGTTGAAAGAGTTTTCACAGTTTGAGAAAAATGAGTTTTTCCACTGGTGTTCCTTAACTACACGAAAAGAAAGGAAAGTCCACACAAGGTATGTGAAACAAGTCTGGGTGTGTCTGTGTGTGTGTGTGTGAACTATTTATTTTACCTTTTGTGAGGATATGTAAGCCATTCCATTTGCGACATCCCTGGCAAACTTGATTAATGTCCTAGACAGTGATTTGCTCAAGCCGGGTACGTTGGCGTAACCTGTCCCTGGATCCTTGTCTCGATACTCCATCAGAACACTCTTCAGGTCACCCTTAGCAAGGTACTCGACGATCACGTAAATGGGATCTAGAATAAATCACAGAAATTACTCAAGCCGTCCACACTTTATTTTGTGTAGCTGCCTATAATCATACTCTCTTCCAAAGCGTAAGCAAAACGAGGACAGAACGGCTCAGGGTGCATATCACTCCAATACTCTGAAAGGGAAACACTCCAATGGAAACGGGAGTGGAAACTGTAAGCCTACGATGGTGTTCTCGAAATGATGAGTTTCAGCCTTCGTCTTGTCCCTAGTTTTAGTAAAATGGAATCGGAGTTTTCGGTAAGAGTGAATTTTCATTAAAGAGTATAGTGATATACCTTTTTCTGCACAAAATCCCAGCAGCTTGACCACGTTTGGATGAGAGCCGACTGTTTTCATCACCTGCAACTCGGCCAGAAGCTCGTTCTTGGCGTGTCTGTCGGCGCCCTCTATAAATTGATGAGGCGGTTAATCAAAATATAAGAGGCTTCCAGACCTCGGCCTTATGATCGCAGACCCCAGAATTATATGAAAGCCAATATGCCTCAAATGGAGCCACTAGAAGCCTTGGCCTCATGTCACAAGATTGTATCTTTCTGAGAGAGAAGGGAACTATCTTGGGTCGATTTACACAAAACAGGGACCAAGGGACCAAAGCCAAAGACAACCTAAGGTTTGGAATATCCAGTGGAAAGACACTGTCTACACATACTAACGAAGTAAGGAGGCTTATACCATGGATTAGCAGTTTGTACAAGAAGAAAAGACACTCTTCCGATAATCCCATTGTCGGTTATATTATTGTAAAGATCGACTTTTGGTGCGCTTGTCCCTCTGCATCAGTGTTAAAGAAGCTATAGACAGCATGTAGCGTAGAATAATAATAATAATAATAATAATAAATTACTCTTTTGGCTGCAAAAGGGTGACTTTCCCATAGACTTGTGCACAAACCTAAACTGTCACCTAACCCAAGTTTACCTTATGTTTTTTTTTTCCACGAAATTTAGTATTTATACTAATTGGACCATGAGGAATCGATCTAGATGGTTTTCGACAGCAAAATTCCTTGTCCTAAGGGTCGTTTTCATAAAAGGGCGACAGTTATTTTGTCGCCTCAATAAGGTGTATCGCCCTATTGTGGACAGAGTTCGCAAAACCTGTTGCCCTATTACAGTAATAGTAGTAATAATTTAATAATAAAATATAATAATACTAATATTAATTATCCTGTATGATATAATAGGGCGACTTTCCCATAGACTTGTGCACAAACCTAAAATTAATGTCACCTTAACCAAAGTTTATCTTATCCTTTCTCCACAAAATTCGGCATTTTTACTCATTGGACCACGATGAATCGTGAAGGGTCGTTTTAACAAATAGGCGACAGTTATATGTCGCCTTAATAAGGTGTGTCGCCCTAAATATGGACGCAGTTAGCAAAATCTGTCGCCCTATAATAGCATTCAGACCATTTAGACCACCACCACCACTACCACCACCACCACTACTACTAACTACATGTAGTCAGAGCAATCTATTGGAAACATCTATTGGAAACTTGTCTCAAAGGACGGATTTTTGGAAGGACAGATAATACTTACACATAGGGAAAGTATTACAGATATACCGTACACATCTCAGTGAATGAAAGGAAATTTGATGCTGTCATCAATCATATGTGTTTAATCAACCTTTTTTTTTTTAAATACATCTCTTTTTTTTGTCTTCAAGATAAATCATTCACAATGAGTATAAATAAAATTCTCTCAACTGCACAGAGCCCCGATTTGATAAATAACATTTGACAACAAACCTTTCACAGTTTTGACGGCAACCTTTGTTTCTTTTCCGGCTTCCACGATTCCAAGTGCCTTTCCCAATAGCACTCTGCCGAACTCCCCTCGTCCCAGCTCATTCTTGATCACCACGAGATCTCTCGAGAAAGAGAGTTTCGGTCCTACGTTGCCGTACGCCACGTCGTTTGATGCCTCAACGCTGTCTTCATTGGAAATACTTTCGCATACCACCGCTGAGGCAATTGGTTCCAGAGGAATATCTGAAACACATTTATTAGTTTTTCTAGATTATAAAATTGAAATTGAGACATGCATCTTGCAAGTACTTGTTATCCTCATCTAGTCAGACCACACCAGAAATAATTCGATTTTCTAATCCAATGCACAGGTAAACTCTATAAACAAAGGCTTAATAAATCACTGTTGGGCAATGTAATTTACCAAGCATTGGTATGAAATTACCTCATATTGGGTTGAATTGGGTAAGAACTGTCAAGCTATTGGGAAGAATTTGCCCAAGAGTGTAGGCAGTTGATAATTCAAGATTTACCAATCTTCATTTTGCACTATATACCGGTATAGGTTTTTGAAACCCTTTTTTTTCTAATGCAGTTTATCCTCTGCTTTTGTTTTGACTGGATTCGCTCTTTGATTCTTACCGTCGGGATGATCGGGATCTAGTCCAGGAGAAGACTGATCAGTGACAGGCAGTGGTGGGAGCTCACTGTCTGCTCCTTGTGATACAACGTCATTTCTGAAAAGATAATTATGTTACATCAACATAACTTGTTGTATGTATCCCTTTGTCACTGTAGCGATTGAAAGTGCCCTATTGCTCCCGATTTTGTGTTCAAAACATACCGAACATTGTTGTTGAAAATATCAAAAGAAGAACGACTAGTGGCTATTATTCCCCCAAGGAATAGAAAATGAAAACTACCCATCGTTGTAGGTAGTATGCTCAATAACTGTGTACAATTAGATAATTCAATATTCGGCACGTGTTCAAAGTTGTCTTTCAGTATACCAGGGCGTGCAGGCTGAAGTTCTGATGGGTGCTATTTATTGAAAAGTGAGTAACGGATCAAGGGCAGCTTAAAATTGCTATACCGAACAATTGCAATTACGAACAAGTTTTGTGGATCCCTCGATGTTTCGTTATAGCGGCGTTCCACTTAGAAGGAGAAAGCCACTCGTATCTGTATGTAGTAAGCTAAACAAGTGTTTATTTACATAATTTAATAGTCGGCACGTGTTCAAAGTCGTCTTTCACAAATGGCTTTCACATGTGTGATTGTATTTATTTATTTTTTTTTTTTTTCTTTTCAACTGGGTGGCCCATTCATCGGAATCCACAGGTCAGCCAAGGGTCCCATCACACATAAAAGACAATAAACACAGCAAAATGATTAACATAAAAAATACACATTCACAAAAATATCACATTAATTTGAAAAGTCATCCCTCCCCAAGCAATTACCAGAAGCATAAATATTAATCTTCATATTACAAAAAAAACCACAAATATGCATATGAATGTAATGAAATATAAACTGACGACACACGATGTATAAAAAGACAGACATCTTCAAAAAAATCTACTTATGTGTGCACAGATCCTCCCAAAGCTATTTTACCTGAAGCATTAATTTACATGTTTAAAACCAATGAATAAAAAACTAACAACACATAATGTATAAAAAGACCGACCTTTGACTGAATGTAGCCCTTTTTCACTTACACATATTCTTTTACACCGGTTTCTGTCCATTTGTGTTTATGACGACGCATCCACACGACAAAAACAAGACCACCAACGACGGCCACAGTAACGATGGCTGCCACTACAGATCCCACAATGATGCCTACAGGTGAAGAACCTGCAAGAGCAATAAAAGCTACCCTCAGTTTTCGTCATCAATCAGTACATCTTGTGGACTCACTCAAAGGCTAGTAGTATAACTGTATTAAACGTTGATCACAGTAAGTTAAACGTGTGCAACTGTACTTTTGCAGGCAGATCAGTTGAAACATAAAATTTCAATTTAGTGAAGTAATCTGGTGTAATTCTGTTGGAATACTGCAGAACTTACCACTCTTCCTCGAGGAATCAGTGGGCCTAGTACTGGTGCTTTCACTTACACCTTCTGTCGTCAAAAGCAACACATCATCGCCGTCTTCACGAGGAGGCAAATTCAATATTTCACTGTCTAAACAAACATTCGAGAAAATCGCGGTTAATGTTGGTCCTTTGATTCATTTAACAAGTTGAAACGTAAAGATTCACAGAATATACAAGATCATAGGAAAGAATTCTAGAGGTATCATAGGAAAGAATTGATTCTTATCTTTCTAAATGTAGCAAACTTTAAGAAAAATAGGTAGATTTGTTTTAAAGAATTAATCAAATTAAGAGAAGTGGCTGTCCGTGAAAACGAAAAACGAGAAATTTTTCGCCTTACTGCACTCCCAGTCATATTACATTTTGTGTACGTACGCGCAGATTTTGCCCCACTGCACGTGCGCCTTAAAAATCGCCCCTCCTAGAAAACGCTTCATAGAACACGCCTGAAATTCGCCCCTTTGTGAAAATGCTTCATTGTATTACAATGTATTTATTTGTAATTTATTGCGATTGTTGAGGGGACAAAAACATGTCGTTTTGTTCAAATTTGAGGTTGGTGACACTACACCCGGTATTCAATTAGCCTTTAGTCAAGTCCCACGCACGTATCCAGTGTCATATGAAAATCTGACTCTTATGAAAATCGGACTCCTTTTCCCCATTTTTGGTTTATCCCTCGCACGTGACAGGTCATTCTCCCATAACGATCCTACGAAAAAAATAGCATCTTATCGTACTTAAGCATGCGCAATACTACCAATGAGTCTATATTTCATGGAGTCGGATATTCACGCTACGGCACGTCATGTAGGCGCATTCGTCAAGTTGATCTGACATTGCGCACTCTGTAAGTGTCCTTCACTGCTCCCTGTCGGATGCCACGTGCCAGGTGTGTCGATCTTTGATGTTGACCCCCGTGGTTGTCAGGTCCTTGTTTACTCTCTTCAGCAACGTGGTTCGTTGTCCACCTCTTGGCAGCTTGTTCTTGCGGATAGCCTCTAGAAGTGCTTGCTCGGCAGGAGTTTCTTCTGATTTTCTCAGCAGATGGCCTGTCCAACTAAGACGTCTTCGGGTAATGGCAGTACTCCAAGGGATCTCGTTGGTTCTCCTGTATAGTTCTTTATTGGTGACCTTCTTGGGCTATTTTATACCAAGGATTGAACGCAAGAGCCTTCTGTGAAATGCATCAATGTTCTCTTCTAGTGACTTAGTCACTGTCCATAGTTCACTGTTGTATATAAATGCAGATGCTATGCATAGGCGCGGAATGTTTTGAGTTTCGTATTAGACATTGCATCACTGTTGGAGACATTCCTGAATTTGTTGAAAGATGCCATCAAAAGTATTTTCCTCCTGGTAATATCTTGCTCAGTGTCGAGAAAAGATCCCAAGTATTTGCATTTCTTCCAACTGGTGTTGCTTCCGTTTCTACTGATGAGGTGTTTCTCTGTCTTAGACGTGTTTACTATGAGGATTCGCTCTTTTAGTACCTCGGGTGCCTTCCTCTCCACAGTTGCTATCGGGTGGATATTGTTACTTGCCCAAGTGATGTCATCGGCATAATGTAACCCCATCTCAAAGTATACTGGCGGACAAATAGCGTAGCTGGGGTTCTCTAGTGCTACAGGAAGTGATTTGGGACTGTGTCTGCGTGCAGTAAATGTGATCCTGAAGAGTGAATGGTGTCTCGGGTGTTTCCAGGTCAAGTTGTCTCCTTGAGGCACGCCGATGTTGGTTTTAAAGGGCTTACCAAGACAGTTTCCACTTGTAATCGAACGTCTCTAAGCAATATTGCCAGTAGGTTGAGTTCGTCTTGCTTCAGCATCTCTTTGAGATCCTCACCGAGTCAAAAGCCTTTGACATGTCGAGCAGCAGTGGGTGAAGTTCATAGCTATCGGCTGTGATGGCTTTCTCTGCTGAGATCATTAAGGCAAAGACCTGCTCAGTGGTGCCTCTGCCGTGTTGATAGGGTGCTTGGGAAACTGGTATGTGGTCGTCTAATCTGTCGGCGATTCTCTTCGTCAAACAAAATGGCCATTATTTTCCAGAAAATTGTCAGAAAAACGATTGGCCTTATGTTTATTGGGGGTCCCTTTGGCTTAGGAAGAGAAACGAGAATACCTTCTTTGATGTTGTCAGGGTAGATGCCAGTGCTAGCGGTTTCATTCAGAGTTCTGGCAATTTCTTGAGCAATCATCTCGGGTCCATACTTCAGCAACTCGGCACTGACCAGCACTTTTGCAATTTTAGGTGATTGGATCGCCTTTTCGACTTATATCCTGGTGAAGGGCTTGCTCATCATCCGTTGTGGAAATTCTTCAATTATAGCTTCATCGTCCTTGTCAAACTTGCTTTGAAACCAGTTTCTGATGATCTGTTCTTGGCCAGCTGTGTCGATGACCATGTTACCGCCTTTGTCTGCAACCAAGACCCTAATAAAGTTAGAAAGGAAAGCCCACAATGTAAGCTTTCATTTGGTATATAACAGAGCTCCATAGCCCCTCCCGTTCTGGAGATATGACGTATTTGCACGTTAATTACTTCCTTGGAGTTCAAATTAAACAACTGAGAGAAATAGGCTTTGAAATAGCTGGCTTTGTTGTAGAACAACAGAACGATGCACATAAAATTGTTGTTTTTCCACTTTGTTCAACAAAATCAACATTTCTGTGAATGAAACCTGAAACTGCAGGTACTAAAGATGTCATCCATGACAAAAAATGAAAATCATATTTTGACAAAATTTAACCCTCTCAATGTTGAGCGGGCCATTACACAATAATGCTCAGCGCGACTTAATACCCTTTTTTGTGGAGCCGGTTACCTATTGGGTTGCCTCTGCTGTATATTGTTGATAGCCTTGAAATATTTTGTAGAGTTATCTTTCTGGTTTTCAATTTCTTCAGCTTTTCTTCTCAGTTCTTGTTCATGTATCTCTTTCTTTGTGTTTTGGAGTTTGGTGAGAACGCCATTTCTATCCTTCCTCAGTTCGTTTCTTTTATCCTTGTTTTGCGTCGCCTGAATGGTTTGAAAGATAATCTTTTGCTTAGACGACTGTTCAGAGATAAAGGGTGTGTGACTTTAGTAGATTTGCTTGCATACCCAAAGGTCTCAGATGCTGCTGACAGGCATGCTTTCTTGATGTTGTTCCATCGTTCGTTGCTGTCTGTTAAGTCTCTGCCCTCCAGAATGTTCTGACATACAGTGAGTTGATACTTCTGTCGATGCTCGTGATCTTGTAATTTGGCCAGCCTGAGTTTATTTGTGTTACTTTGGTATGCCAGGATGTTTTCTTCTTTGGAGACAGCTTGAAAGAAGCCCTGACCAACTTGTGGTCTGATGATAAACTGCATCCTCCAAAAGATCTTGAATCTGTGACATCCTTTCTGCATGTGTTAGGTACTATAATGTAGTCAATTTGGTTATATTACGGGTTGCGTCGATTTGGATTGTTTGTATCAGGACAGGTCCACGTAGTTCGATGTCTCAAACTGTGCCTAAACGTACGTCTATGAAATATGACCCCCTTCGGAACTTAATCTAAGCATGCGCACATTAATAATTATAATTGTTACCCGAAACCACGCGAGACGATGCAGTACGCACGCGTTCGTGGCGTCACTACGCAAATACGCGCATGAATTTCGCTCGCAAAAAAACGAGCCTCAAAGTTCTGCTTTATCATTCATAATCCGAATTTTTCGGCAATTTCCCTTGGCTACTATAGAAGTCCCTGAATTATTGTAATTTCTCAATTCTGCAAGAACCGAGCTAATATTTTTTTTGCAATGAGAGATAGGTTGATCTCGTTTGCGTATTTCACGCTTTCCATGTCAAGTTTACGTGTAATTGTATAGGAAACCTACCTGCGTGCAAAAGTATAGGCAGATTCACGAGTGTTTAACCAATTCCGTGAGAATCTTGTTTGTTGCAGATGGGGTACTTTTCAATAACAAGATAATCCATTCCAATTAAAAAGTACAAATAGTATTCATTAGATTTATTGCTCTTCTTAAATTGTTACCATTATTTTAGTAAAATTTGCCCTTTTCTCCTTCCTTTTTTTACTAGCCAAACCTTGTCCACCATTACAATTTTTAGTTTCAAACTCTGTCCTGTTTGAGTGTTTTGCCTTTTGGGCATGGTTCTTTTAATACAAATAATCTCCTTTCCTCAGAATTCGTACATTAAAAACAAATGCATTATTTATAAATAAATCACTAGAATTGTATCATTTAATCCTTGCTACAATCTTTAATTAACTCCAATTATAGTGTTTGAAGAAGTTAGACTCAAGATTTTTTTTTTCTTAACCTTTACTACAATTTTAGTTCACTATAGTACTGCAATATCACTTCAATCAGGAGATTTTTTTAAGTCTCAATAAATTTTGTTTGTACTGTTCAGAAACAATAGAATAGTCCAGTTGTTTGCATTGATGATATGCGTTTGTCAGCATTTAATATTTAATTTCTTTAGTGACATTAATTTGAATTTTTTTCTGATTATGTTTGTTAAAATTTTACATTTCATTTTAATTTATAAAGGTCGAAAATCGTTTTAAATATATTTGTAATTATATAAATGGGTTATTTTCAGGGTTTTTTTTAAGTCTGGTCATAGTTCTTTTCTTTACACAGTGTCCGTCAACATTCCACATACTGTAGAGTCCGAAGTCTGCATCATCATAAGAAGGAACAACAGTCCCCGGACGACACTCAAAACATCTCCATACAGCTGCAAAAAAATGGAAAAGAAAAAAAAGCAATGTTAAAATATTACAAAACGCAAAATAATAAATAAAAGATATAAGAGACATTTTGACAGATTTGAGTCTGGCATGGAGAAAAGAACCCTATATTTTCGGTGCCTCATTTATTTACATAAGTCTTTCCATGTCCGAGTGTTTTAATTCTTTAACCTCTGAAAGATTTTAATACTTTTTTCTTTTTCATTGAAAAACAACCTAGTCTAAACATGAATTAATTTGTACATTTTGTCTGTTAAGGTTTTGTTTAAAAATCGTGTATTTTTTTTTTAAATATTAGTCAACACGTACCACACTGACTTTTAATTTGTAACTCGACACACGATTTTCACAACAAAATATTCATACAGCAGCCTTTTCTATTTCAGGCCTTATAAATTTATAAAAAAATCAAGGCAACTTGAAATTGAATCAGTTTTTTTTATATAACTGGAAAGAACCAAACCCCTTTTTACCCGTATACTTTACCTCTCAAAACTCGACTCCAAAGCAACAGTAAAATCACCCGTCACAAGCGATGTGTGTTGTGGGGACGCAAGCTCCAACTCCAGGGACGCTGTTGCAGACTGCATGGTGCCGGTGATGCCTGGCGACTGTACCGCGTGGTCGGTACGGTGTCAAATTTCTTCCCACGTTTCCACGAGTATCGGTTTGTATGCAAGGCATGACATGTCGGTGTACGTGGTTTAAATGGAAGATCGGAGGTCTCTTGACTTCCACGAGACATAACAAAACCACAAGATTCTCTATTTTCCTGACAGATTCAACATTTTCCACTCGTTCAGCGACTTTTCAATGTGCATTTCTTGATGTTCAACGCGAGTCACATGCGTTTCGAGTCAAAATGTCGCAAAAAAATGCGATATTCAAGGACGAATTTTAACGATTACAAAAAATATTAGCCCAAAAAACAATGAAGTATACACCCTCGTTCACTACATTTAAGAAGTAAGAATTCCATTAAAAAAAATCCGGTTTTTGAAATATGCCCACATTTGGTAAGATATGACACAAAAAGTGCGATTTTCATGCAATATCATACTAAAATTCAAACTTTGATAAAAAGATATTGCAAGCAGACATTTTCATAATTAGAAAAAAATATTAATCATTTTGATTAAGCCACCTCACAAGGGGGGTGCTAAAAAACCGCGCCTGCGCCTCACAAGGGGGGTGCTTAAAAACCGCGTAGCTCATTCCGCGCAACTAAGTTGCGCGGAAAGAGCTACGTACCGGACACGTGACGCACCCCGGATGCTGGCACGTAAAAAGACCATCTCGTGGAGAACTTTTGTTTTTCTTTACATTTATCTACCGATTTGGTAGAGACATTTGTATGCATAATGCATTACCCGTTGGGAATATTGACCAATGAAATCAGATGTTTCAGTTCAGACAAATTACTTAATTAGAGTGAAAGAAGTGGAAATAGAAAATCACAAACACATACCGATGCTCATAAGAAATAAATTGTTACTAAGGGAATAAATATGTGTTCAGGAGGTATTATAACACTCTGTTTAAGACCGGTGGGAGTCTGGATGGGTGATAATTACCCAAAGCGAGCCTCGGGTAATTATCACCCATCCAGACTCCCACCGGTCTTAACCAGAGTGTTTAATAGGCCTACCGACCGAACACAATTTATTCCCATTCATAAATTACATTTTCGGTAAAAAAAAAAAAAATTAGGTCAAAAAATCATAACAAGTCAAAATCTAGACGTTGCCAACCATTTTGTTTAACAATTTTACTTCATGTTTTACGAAACACCCTCCTGACTATAATATGGAATGCCCCTCCACAACTCGTTACCTTATAAGGACACTGGCGTGCGCGTCGCGCGTGCTGCGCGATGTTGCGCAAAACGCAGCTGGGCTGGTGTAGTGTGAATTTCAGACCATGAAATCACTGATTCACTGGTAGTACATTGCGCATGCATACTGGAGGAATGTCGTTTAACCAATGAAACGTTAAAAGGCACCAGACTTCATGGGAGTCCAAATTTCATGTGACACTGGAAAAGTGTTGAAGACCAGCTAGCCATGTCTTTATCATCCGTTTAAGACCGGCCATGTGACGGGCTCTCGACCAATAGAAATGCGTAAACTGTCTTAGGTACTTATAAATGTTAATTAAAAGATAAAAATTAAAAGATAAAACATAATTACATCATTTCAAATTTTTAATTACAATAGACGAAAACTCACCCGGGCAAAGCGGTTCTTCAAGTTTTCGTGACCCAGTTCCAATCACATTTGTGACATTACAGCTGACCTCTGTGCAGTAACTGTCCTCCACATTAAATGTCAGGGTTTTACCGGTAGGCGCGCTAGGCTTGGTGCCATTTAAGATGATGTAATAATTAATGGTACTTATTGGTTTGGCATCGGCTTCA